GGGGGGGGGGGGGTGTTCATTGAACACACTTTAACCTTTTGGAACAGCAGGTCCCAGTAGAGTGTGAGAACAGTAAAACAATTAGAACAAATAATAATAATCATGAAACACCAAATATATAAAAACGTTTTGTATAAAATTACCACAGCATTGTGTTGGCCAACAGATATTTTAATTAATATATTTATATTTTAAAACAAACTTTTAAAACAAAATAGTCTAAATTTAGGCCAATGGGATGACTGGAAAAATGTCCCAATTATCTTGAATTAACTAATATAATACATATTCTTATAATGATGTATGTAAGAGTTGATCAGTTTAAAGATTTCATTGTGTATTGCTGTTACTACTATTTTATCTATGGCCTATTATTTAAAATCTTGTGTATAAGGGTTGTGTTTTTTTTTTCATCTTCTCATTCTTGTGTTCAGAAATAACTTTACAATTTGCCATATCTGTTGTATCTCAAACAGGAAGAGTCAAGGATTGACATCCTGATCAACAATGCTGGAATCTACCAGTGTCCATACACCAAATCAGAAGATGGATTCGAGATTCAGTTCGCCGTCAATCATCTGGGTCACTTCCTGCTCACTAACCTCCTGCTGGATCTCCTCAAACGCTCTGCTCCTAGCCGGATAATTGTCGTGTCCTCCAAGCTCTACAAATATGGTGAAATAAACTTTGATGACCTGAACAGCGAGCAGAGCTATGATAAAGCTTCTGCCTATGCACGGAGTAAACTAGCCAATCTTCTATTCACTCTGGAGCTCTCACACCGACTCGAGGAGACCGGAGTGACAGTAAATGCTCTCACCCCAGGGATTGTGCAGACTAACCTGGGCAGGCATGTCCACATCCCACTGCTGGTGAAGCCACTATTTAACCTGGCTTCACGGGCCTTCTTCAAGTCCCCTGAGGAAGGTGCGCAGACTTCTATCTATCTGGCCTGCTCTCTGGATGTGGAGGGTGTTCAGGGGAAGTGCTTTGCTAACTCATGAAGAGCAGCTATTAGCTAAGGCCACAGATGAGGAGGTGGCCAAGAAACTGTGGGACATAAGTGAGGTAATGGTGGGCATCACAACCTGAAATCTCAAAGATTTAAGAATTTAAGTCACCTGTTCTTTATTATTTCAAAATCGACAACTCTTGAGAAAATAAAGTACCATCAAGTATTTTCTCTTGGAAAGAAAACATGCAAAAGCAGAGGTGTAAAGAGTACCTAAAAACCATACTTGAGTAAAAGTACTGATACCTTACAGTAAAAATTACTCCACTACACGTTACAAGTCACCAATTCCAAAACAACTTGAGTAAAAGTCTTAGAGTATCTGATTTTAACAGTACTTAAGTATTTTACTTATACTAAATATAGGCTCAAATATGCACTAGTCAAAGAGACATGCCAGTCAAATACTGTAACGTTGTGGAGAAGCTGCGGAAAACAGGCAGAGGCAAGGATCTATGTGCTGGTATTTCATGGAAAAACTAGAACAAACAAACAGGCAAAAACCAAAGGCAACAAAGAACAGCATGACTGGCAAACAAACAACCATTACATTCAACTCACAAGGAACTAAGGAAAAACTAGGGCTATATATACACACAGGGGGCTAACAAGCTTAACAAGATAACAAGACACACCTGGGGAGACTAATCAAGGGGAACCAATGTACAAACGGACTACAAACACCACGGGAGACAGGAAGTGACATAAAAGTCCAGGGCAAGGCACAGAGAGCATGAAACAAAAACAAGAAAAGAGTTGATTTGTGATATTTTCTAAAACCAAACGTTTATTTTCTAAAACCAAAATAAAACTGAACACCTACAGAACAGCAGAATATGAACGCAATGCGCAAAGTCTCTCGCTAAGCGTTTTCCTCCCGTAGAAAAACATAAGCACGTATTAAGATGCTATTAAGATATCAAATTCAATATACAGTTTATTAATATAATGAATATGTATGTAGTATTTCCTCCCATACCGCAAAACGTGGCATAATGGACTAAGATTATAAAGACCAAACTCAATATGCTCCTCTTCATTATTGAAATATACATAACTAATATGTACAGGCAAGCAGGTGAGCCCATTCTAGAGGAGGAAAACACTTAATGAGAGACTTTGTGCATTGCGTTCATATTCTGCTGTTCTGTGGCCACAGATTTGCGGGTCTTGTCTTTTTCTTGCAGGACCATGTACGTTAATAGTAGACTAAATTAGTTTTAATCATTTAATCACCACCACAGTGTCTTGTCTCCATTGGCAACACGCACGATTTGTGTCGATTGCAAGTGACATTGTAATTTAGTTTATTTTTTTATTGTCTTCACCACCTGGCTACTGTTGTAAAATGTTGAGAGATTCAAACAAAAAGTAATCAATAAATAGAACAAAATAAAAAAGACTGCAAGTGATGTCACTTGCGGAAGCGCAAGTGTCTGAGAGTGCAAGTCTGAGAGTGCAAGTCTGAGAGTGCAAGTCTGAGAGTGCAAGTCTGAGAGTGCAAGTCTGAGAGTGCAAGTCTGAGAGTGCAAGTCTGAGAGTGCAAGTCTGAGAGTGCAAGTGCAAGTCTGCAGCCAGACCCTCTTGTGCTAGTCAGGTTCATAGATTTCAAAACTATGTGTGTTCAAATGTGTTGGTTAAGACTAAATGCAACCTAAATGGGCTATTAACTGGAGAATCACCACAAATAATGTAGTTTACAAAGACTAAACCCTTTCTTTGACTGAAAATGTGTGCAAATAGTACTTAGAATTTCTGATAGCAATATTGTGCCTAAATTCTGATCTGTTGTTACACTTTTCTGCTGTTGGGAGTGAAACACTGCATTTGATTTGCACTTCTCATACTGAAGATTAGTGGAAATACATTCTCAGAGTACTTAATAAAGATGCATTAAACAGAAGTACAGTAGTATCTCAGTTCTGATTATACATTGCATTGTATATTATGCATTTGCAATGGCGAAATGCTGATCTGTGATATTGTGATAATATACTATACACACTTTTAAGTGTAACTGCACAAAGAAAAAATTTTTAGGCTCAGGCCTATATATATATATTTTTTTTATAAAAATTAAAATTTAAGGAGTTGTGTGTTTTACTCATTGAAAATAAAGGAATGTAAATAATTGAAATAAA